CAAACAGCTGCCACCAGCCTACAGTACCCCGCACAACCCTCGCCCAAACACCCATTACAGCCCCCCCGGCCCCCAAAGCGACCGCACCTTTCGGATCTCCCGCAAAACCGCTTTTCCACACATTCGTTCAACAAATTAGCCACGGCTCAAAGGCAATTAGCGAGCGAGGGAACGGTGTTGGCTAGACATCAAGGCGTCGTGCAGGTGGCTTCACTCAAAGGGTAACTTTAGGGCATTTTTCGGAATCTTTGGAGTCGAAAGGGGAGAGTGGCTAGATTTCATTAGATCTCTTGCTATCCTTATCGGAGCCTGACGGTATTGCTAGGTAGGCTGGAAATTTCCCCTATTGACGCTTCAAATGTACTTACACGACCGTTAACCCCCGATCTGACCCAGGTGCACAACCACATATATCCATTAGAGAACATGCGCAATCCCACCCCAACAAATTCCATCTATGAATACAACAATGACAGACACCAGCTGCCTCCCGGGCCAAAGTAATAAAAAAAACTGGGCGCTGCGAACGGGCTGTCTCCCCACACCCATACCCAGCCCACCCCTTCCACCCAAATATACTGTTTTTCGATGGTATTCCGGTGGAGTAACAGTCCTGCGAATATTGCGCTGACACTCACATTCTTGGAAAAAATGGCACGCGCGACTCGGGGCGAGTTGCGCGGTTGGTTTTTTGCGACACTCGGACTCGGCTGCATTAGTCTATTAATGATGAAAACGGGATGGAGGGGCGAGGCGATGGAAAAATAGTGGGTCCATCTGGATTTGTTGTCATCTCAAGGAGTTATATCTTAGCGCAGTTTTATCTCACTGAATCTTAACTCATCGAATTTTCGACTTACCAAGATTTTAAAATTAGGTGATATAAAAATTCAGCCAATTTTAATACGATCAAATAAAATTTGTTCAGATGCCAATTTTTCGATTCGTGATAGCCCAGTTCTATCGATGATTAATTTGAATCGAAAAGTAAGTAACGATTCACGTTCCATACCCAGCAGGGCACTATATGAATACCTTGTTTTTTGCAGCCCGGCCTACCGTTAGGCGGGGGGTAGCCGAGGTGAACTCCACATTTCATCGCCATTCGCATTTCCTGCTCGGGCGCCCAGCCGGCTGTCTTTCCGAATCGCATTGCGGCCGCCGAAATATTGAAATCGCACCCTAAGTGGGCCCCATGTTCGGGTGAGGACGTGTGTTCTCGGGGGAGAATGAGGGTGAGAATGGGTTCGAAGAAAACGGGAGGGACGTGGAATTTTGTATTAATTATATTTATATAAACCAAACATTCAAAAGCACTTAAAAGTTATTAGCTTTTTTTCCAAGGCTCCAGGCCAACGTTTCTCAAAAAATTTCAATTGGTAGGCGGATTTCAACCTGATTCATATTGTCTAGCTCTTCAAAACAGCTAAAAAGACAATTATTTACGCTTGCTTTAAAGGAAACTCTTACTACAAGGCTGCTATTGCATCGCAACCATTGAATTTTCCCAAATAAAAAAATCTTCCTCTTTGAAATCCCATTCACCACCTAATACCCTACCGCCACCCGCCATAACCTAACGGTCAAACCTATTGTCATCAGAGCAGCGTGGATTAGTACCCGCTCCTCCCCCTAAACGACGCGTCGACGATATTTACGGCCCAACACCCTCCGTATATGTGTGTCTCTCCTATCCTTCTTTGGCCCAATTTGGGGACAGAAAGATGCGTGTGCCCGGCATTACACACAGCAAGAAGGGGGATTGGGCGATGATCGGGGTTGGGTCCCGTTTGTCTGTGTGGCCCCCTTCCTTCAAATCCTCCTCGCTTCCTTAAGCGCAATCGCAAGCAACCGGACCCATCCGCTCCCTCCAACTGGGGCAGATAACGGAGGAGTGGGAGGTTACGGTAGGGAGGGGAGGGAGAAGCCGGTCCTCGAAAGGCGGAATGGGCGCCTTGGACAGCACTTCCGGATACGGTATGTTAACGGTCTATGGCGGGTAGAGAAGCTGCTGTGATACGGGAGTCATGCAAGAGGGTTTTTGATGTGACGCCAGAGGACAGTATCGAAGAACTTTCAAAAGGTATCGAATTTTTTAGGGCAAGCAGCTGATCAACACTTCGAATATTCAAGGATATTTTAATGACCTACTGACGATATGAAGATATTTTTATGAGCTCTATAGCGGTTTTAGGAGTTTTGGGGGCATTACGGGCGTAAATACCAAGGAATTAGCCAAAATCAATCAGGTTCACGTCCGATTTTCGGCCTCTTGGTGGAGTCAAAAAAAGACTGCCTTTGCATTCTAGATTCAATTTTACATTACATTACATTTTGTTTGATTTTACTGCTACTAAACCAAGCTGACTAAAAGCATAACTGTCATATCCTAAAAGATGTCTACTCCTCTCCTTTGAAGCTTCCGATTACTTCGCGTACATACCCAAAGTAAACTATTGCCAGACATACGACAACAATAAACCCCCCAAAAACCATTACCATCCCGACTTCACACGATAAACCCCGGCGGCATCAAATCTAATAAAACGTGCCCCAGCCCAATGAATCGACCGGTAAGCGAACGATGCCCCAAGACCCAAGATGACCCACGCGATGTTACTGTAGTTAATCTGTTTGACTATGGGGCCCCGATTGTTACAACGTGTCATTGGCCCTTCGCGATCAGGGCGGAAGATCAATGGATAGATTTGAGACTGAGGGGGGATATATGCGGGGGAATGTGTGGTGGCTGGGATATTTGCCATCAGGATCGTCCCGTCGCCACACTTAAAGGCCCGTCCGGCTGCATGTATCCCTTCTATCGCCCCTAATCGGCAAATATTATTGGCAGCGGGTGGCGGAAAGACCGCCAAAGGCAATCCCTGACCTCAGCCAACGTATCATGCGCAACTTGTTGGCCCTTCAAGAGTATTCGGGTTGGGGGGTTGGTGGGTTTTTGAGGTAGGGAGAGGGGCTTAGGGAATTAGGATCACAGTTGGGAGTTTTTAGTAAGCATCTAGAAAATAAAAAAATCGTCCTATTTAAAACAAATAGTGTAAGGCCACAACTTGGATGCAAGTTTCGTAAGATTTTTCTTGCGCGATCAGCTTAGAGGACGGATTTCAAGGCATGTTTGATGCGTCATTAGGTGTGTAATGACCTTGAGATGACTGCCGATTTATTAGATTTTTAGAAAAGTGTTATTTGAGGAAGGGCTATTAGAAAATTAGAAAAATCTTAGAAAATTTTTGTATAGACCTAAAGTGTGAAAAAGATCAAATAAAATATTCTGTGGGCAGCTTTCCACTTTGTTGGTAAATTGGCTATGAAAATTGTCTCGTTCATAAAGTCCCAGATGCAGCACGGATCCAAAAAAAAAACTATAAAAAGAAACGAAATAGGAAATAGAGCGAAAAATAGAACGCAGTTCGAAGCCAAATCAGAATTAAACAAAAAGAACTCTGCTCCCGGATTCGCTTCGGCCAAAAACCCAAACGTATTGCATCAAATTGGCTTAAAATTCCAGAAATTTACCGTTCATATCAAAATCTCCTCCCCCGAATGACGCATGTTTAAGCGCTGCTGATCCACTCTCCTCCCCGACAGAAATGAGCAACACAATAACTCGATCTACTTAGCAGGCGGAGACCCACATTCGTCAGCTTCTCCAAACCCGGGCTTCCTGTCTCCAACGCTTGAAAATAAGACTTTTATCGATAGGTGGAAGGGGGCTTAGTGACGATTATCGGCTAAAAGGAGGAGACGCACACTGCTGCTTACTGCTCACTTTGGTTTTTGCGAAATATTCTGAGTTACCTCAAGGAATGGTTAGTATTTTGGGGCTAGTTTGGAACGATAGTAAAAGAAGTCTATCCTAACATGGTTAGATTAATGGAAGATCTAGCATGTCATTAAATCACAACGGAAAAAGCGTACAACTATACTGTAAAACACCTAAATAGTATTAGTATTAACCATCAAACCCATTTTTGTAGCCTATAGTCCATTCCATTCCATATCCTCCCTATTACAAAATCATCAAGGTCAACGCGGTTCACCGACAAAGTGTCTCTACCGTTGCCCCCACATTTTTATTACCGCCACTCCATAACCATGAGGATATGTCGGCAAACATACCGGATGCCATGTTTCTCGTAGCCCAACGCCCGGCTTATCACAGCCCAATGGGAGGCCTCCCGCTTCAGATCTAGCCGCCCCTGACACCCCCCGAGACTTATCACACCTATACCCCCAACCCCCCTCATACGTCCCGCAACTGATCACAACAAAACACCAATCACCCACCAACCACAAAGCACCTACTGTATTAAAATCAGAAAAAATAAAATCTATATGCAAATCATTGAGCCTAAAAATAACAATAGAATATAACAACGAGAACCGTAGGCCTTATCGATGGCCGGGGGCTGGCTGGGCTTGCCGTTTCCTATCAGCTTAAGCACCTAGAACAGGTCACCGGGGGGGATTGCCGGGATTTTTGGGCCCGCGGGAGCGAACCTCCCAAACAAATCGGGAGGAGACGATCGCTGGGGGAGGAGTGGAGGCTGACTAACACATTTTTATGATAACGCAAGTGGTGGGTGTTCGTCAAGCTATATTTGGTAGTGAGGGATGGTGCTAAATTGGAGATCAAGATACTATGAGGCACTGTTTGCTTACAGAACTCCTATATTCATAAAGTATATTTTCAGTGCTCATTTTGACCCGCTCACGCCAAAAATGCGTAACTCCCCGTAAACCGGAAAAATCTGCATTTTTGGTGTTGAAAGTGGCGCGAAAAATTAAGAAAAGTGGTGGTAGGCAATCAGTCTGAATATTTTTTTTTGATCTGAATGTTCTTACAGTATCGTGTTTTTTTACTAACATAATTTTTCAATTTCTCTATTAAGCCCCTTCATCCTGTACCCCCAAACCCAATTCAGTGCATAAAACATTCAGATGCCAATGGTTTATTACCCTCCACACTGGAGGTGCCTTTACTTGGCCAGTTTGTTGAAATAACGGCCAGGGCAAGGGCAGTAGCTGGCGTCGTGTCCTGGGAATCCATCGGTTCCAGGCTGTCCAGGAGGTCCATTGTTTCCAGGACGTCCGGGGTTTCCGTCGCGTCCAGGAGAACCAGCATCTCCGTCCTTTCCAGGGTTTCCGGGGCCTCCAGGAGCACCAGGGGGTCCACGCTGTCCAGGGCGTCCAGGGGTTCCAGGTCTGCCAGGGCGAGCCTCTCCAGGCTGAGTTCCAGGGGCTCCGGGGCGTCCAGGACGTCCATCGACTCCAGGCTCTCCAGGGTTTCCATTGTCTCCAGGCTCTCCAGGTCCTCCACGAGATCCAGGGTTTCCGGGTTGTCCGGCTAAATATATGGGTCGTAATAGTATATAGTGGTGAATACTTACGATGCCCAGGGCTTCCAGGCTCTCCAGCTTCTCCAGAGTTTCCGGGGGGTCCACGAGGTCCAGGAGGTCCAGGGGGGCACGGGATGCAGCCTCCATCGTAGTGGTGGGTGACGGCCTATTTATTGTGGTTTAGTTTGGTAGTTCACGTAAGGTACTTACCAAAGCGATACCCTTAGCTCCAGGCCTTCCATCATCTCCGGGCAGACCCTCCTCTCCGGGCTCGCCAGGAAGTCCAGGAGGTCCGGGGGGACCGGCGGGGCATCCACGAGATTGCATGCCACAGTTGCACTGCTCGTTGCTTCTCTTCTTGCGGCCGAACAAAGATTCGAAGTTGGGTGCGGCATCTGAACCGGGTTGTATTGTTTGTGATGATGAGATACCGGAGTTGCCAGCGGGGTAGACGTGGGCGCTGTAGACGCGAGACCAGGCGCTGTTGACCTCGACGTCAAAGTGGGCGAGGCCCTCTCGGATCTCGGCATCCATATCGTTGATGTCATTGACGATGACACCAATGGATGCTAGGGCTAGGAGAAGAGCGGCCAAAGAGGCCGCTGAAGCCACACCGACTTGCCACATCTGAGGGTTAGAAGTTATTTTTTGAGGTATAGAACACAAATTCTGAGTTGAGATCGCACCAACTATTTAAAAGCTAGAATTACTGTACTAAAGCGTACGCTTAGGCAAAGGCTCGTATATAACGCAGGTTCTATATACACGGAGAGAATAAGCCAAAAAGAGTGGTTCAGGTGTTAATAGGAGCTTTCCGTTATATACGGCGTCCTAAGGATAGCTATCTCTCTCAAAAACTCCTAGGGGTGAAGGAAACCGGAAGGCTTACCAAAACCGTATCCTATCTTCCCCGCCATCCACCACTCCTTATATACGGGTCTCGGCCAAGCTATCCCTTCAAATCTTATTTGGGGGCCGGCTGCTGGAAAAGTTTTTTGCCTCCGTCACCCCCGACTCCCCCCCACCCGCATACCAGTTTCATTTTTATCGCGTCGCCCTGCCGTTGGACGCGAAAGTGTTTCAGCATAAATGTACTCTTTTACTCCCACTCACCCCATCCCCTTTCACCCCACAAAGAATGCGGATATCGCTTTATTTAAAATTTAAAATCAAAATCCTTGTATTCCTACGTTGAGCAAATGTAGACAAAGAATGGTAAGACACGCGAGGAGGGGACATAAATACGCTACATCTACATTCTGCATAAACAATGGAATATAATGGATTTTTAAAAGATTATCGTATAAACTGGTGTCGGTATGCATCAAATGTGGCTCATGAGGTATGAAATATCTGAAAAACTGTTCAATATCTCCGTTTGTACATACCGAAAATGTACCATCTCATTAAATGGAAACTTCAAAACCTCCTCGGTATATTCGGTAAATGGTGCATTAGTTTCCAATAAGTTGCAAGAATTGTTGTTCGCACACAGACATGTCGACGCTAATGGCGTTGTCTGTAAAACAGGATTCCTGCCTATTTTTGGAGAGGACTTACTTCACATAATTGCGTCGAGCCCAGCTGATTCTTTTCTGGCTTTAAATTATTAATATCGTATCTGACGGTTGAGAGCTCTTCACTTGTCAAGTTCAGACACCCGCAAGTGAATAACATAAACCCCTGGTTTTTATGCATTCCTATAAGGTCGGGTTTTAATTGAAAATTACACCTACGCATAAAGCAGGTATTGCCACGGCAACGCAACGGAGGTTTTGTTTCGCATCCTTTGATATTTATCGAATTGTAATTATTGTAATCAATGCAAAAAATGCATCTAAAAAGATTTAATTTTCGAAAGGGACGTAAGATTACTCAATATAGCGATCCTGAGACCAATCTTGTAAGGAATCGATGCTTTCAGGAGATGTTGTTGAAACAGATGCACCGAGATCCGTCGCAATGTTCCCACCCGTTAATGGGAGAATAAAATTGGAGAGCAGAATCAATAACATCCAACGAGACACTCTGGACGTCAACGTAGGCGAATTCTGACCCAGCCTCTTCTAAAAATATAATTACCCGTGAATGGATAGCTTTCAATTTTGGGCTTCGTCGCCTCACATACTATAATTGAAAAAAGGCTTCGTCTGAAGAGGGGTTCTTGAATCGTGATTTCGTTTCCAAAAACGAAACGCTCAGCGTATTTCTAACCCTAGAAAATAGACGTAAAGGATGGAAGAATAGTTTATGCTCAAAACTGGTCATAATTAGAGGCTGTAAAAGCATCTGCTGGGCTATAATCCATAAAATAAGCTGCCCGAAAAACAGCCGGAACCATTACACCTGCAGCTAGGTGAGCAAGACTTTTTCCGAGTCGTTCCAAACATCCGTTGTTACCCTTAACACGCCCCATCCCGCTCAGAGACAAAAATAATGCACATGCTCGATTGGTTAATACGAAATGAAATAGCTGCACTCCCGAGGAAGGCTTGCTTTTATTATTCAGGGGCATTTTGAAATGTGGGAATTTCACGGGCACCCAAAACCTAGCCACGAAAAGACAGGCGGTAAAAGAAACTCCATTCATGGATGAATGAATGCTAGAGAAACGTTCAAATGTGGGGGGAGGGCGGGGGCTTTACGGGCGAAGATTCCCCTTTTTTGTGCTTCTCGTGTCGAGAGATCATCAGAAGTGACGCGCCCAGAATTCTTCAGACGAATTATAAGCACCCACCTTAAGGGCATTATTTTAATAGTCACATCATTGTACATCAACCTTGAAAGGTAGCTAGAAATACTACACTACAAAAAATACTAGCCACTGTCAAAAATAACGTACGCTTTATTTTTGAAGTGCATTCATAAATTCAAGCAAAAATTCGACGAAATTTTGGCAATAATATAGTAGTTCATAAATTGAATTCAAGAGAGTGTAGTTGTAAACACGGCATGCCGTAACCACCGGCATGCTTAAAGAAAACCGAAAGGGTGTCTCCTATTCCCTGAAGGGAATTGACCCCCCAGAACAGCCGGCTTACCTAAACAAGAAATGGGCGGAACCCGGAGAAATAGGTGAAGCCACAACCCTTATTTCGAGCCTAATCCAAGGTATTGACTCCTGGTAGTTCAAATAACAGCGCTTTTTAGGCGGCACAGCAGGAGATAACGAAATGAAATGTGCTACCGGGCTTGTAGTTTCTGAAAATAGCGTTTGGCATTTGGAAGGAATGCACCGTCTGAGAATAATTGTTCAGAATTTGTCCAGTACAACAGCGAAGAGCAAAACTAGGCCGCCGAAGCTGACCGTCCTGGTCTTTTTGATCGACACAATTAGCTGAAATAAAATTTGTTGTTCTGAATTCGTGATTGGTGCACTCTTCCCGCACTTTTCTGGTCGACGCCTATGACCCGGCTTCTGTTATTTTTTATCTTGGAGAAGTTAAAACATACTGAACATGACATACTACTACGGCCTTGTACAGTCCTGTTACATCAATTTTTGACCACAGTTCAGCATTTTCCATTCCAGTCAGCTAACAATAAAATATCTAATTAATTTGCAATTGAAACCAATAACGGCCCCAAGCGATGCAACCGTAAAAGTCCGGGGGGGGGGGGGGGGGGGCAACCTGAAAACAAAATTAGCAAAATCATACTGTCATTTTTGCTTTTGTTGTTGCTTCGGGGGTCTTCATTAGCTGGTGGGGTTCTTGAGAATGTCCGGGGGGAGGGATGATTTTCAGGGCAGATCCAAATTAAGTTTAGGAATAGTGAAAAATAGCTTCGAAGAAAACTGAGATCCCGACCCCCGAAAATACTAACGAACCGCTGGTGACCGTTTCAAGATCATTTATAGCTCTTCGCGCATCGCCTGTTTCGCTATGCGTTGGTTGCAAGGTCCATTTATAACGGCAGTCGTAACATCGCGCATTTCTGACCTAAAAAAAACTGGGTGCTAATGCACTTCGGGGGGTTGTCCGAATTTTGACTGCGAAGCGCTCCAAACGCCGTTTTTATACTCTAAGCATCTGGAAAAGCTAAGCTAACAGGGAGACGTTTTTGGGTGGGCACGGAATTTCGTCGGGATCATGCTCAGTTTTTCAAGCGCCTTCGAATGAGCTAGGTCTCGTTACGAAACTCAGTGCCCACCCAAAAACGTCTCCTTGTAAGCCCGAAAAGACCCCATTATGACCCCCTAAAGCATTTTAAAGCTTCAGAGAAGGCTTAAGCTTGAGCAGAAACCTAAGCTAAGTATAGTAAAGCTAAGTTAAGCCTAGGCTTGCGCTAAAAACAAGTAGCTTAAGCGGAACGCCTTGTAACCTGGTGCCATCAATTTCGGACTTCCCGCCCCGCTAGGTGCATTAGCACCAAAAAAACGGTTAGAATCTTAGATAGCTTCACTATTTTCCATTTTGTTGTTCTGGTTGGTTTGCGTGCCCTAGTATTTTCTTACGGGCTGGCTCGCTGCACGCTACTCGGATTTTTACCCTTTTTTCGATGCATTTACTGTCTTTTTTTCATACATTTTTGTTTTTTAGCATGGCTGACGACGAAGGCGAATGCCGACAGCACTCGACGCAGGACGAGCCGTGGTGCCACTACACGGTCGTCGATACATTCCCCGAGGAGATGGAATGGCTGAAGACTCAACTAAAGAAAACAGTCCCAGCTGAGGTTGAGCTCTGCTTCCTTTTTAATCACTGCCTTCAGGTCCAAGACATCCTGCCCGCGTTGGCGCTTGACTTCTCGCATCTGAAACTGCACACCATTCCCGACGAGACCCACAAAAGAGCGGAGAACACGGAAGAGGTTGGGGTTTTATATCACCGCTAATTTGAGTTTTAGAGCGGCACATACGGTGAAAAGTTGGTCGGCTTTTTGGCGGCCTACCCGGATCCGGAGGAGTCGAAAAGCGCAGAAGAAGGGGCAGAAGCTGCCGGGAAATTGGTCGAAAAATTTGCGAGGTATTCTGCTTTTTTAATTGTACCTTCGAATTTAGTCAATTCTTCTCACTGCCTCAGCACGACGCGGAGCGGCGCAAAGTATTCCATGGCATCCAGGTATCGCAATCTAGCCTTGTTGAGAAATCTTCTTTAGAAATCTGCTGTCGAGTTGACTGGCAGTTCGAGCGGAGCCCCAGGACCGGACGAACATTTTGAGTTGGCCGTTGGAGCACACCAATATAGGGTGCGTGGTTGTCGCTTCGCAAGTTTTTTGCTTTAGATTCTGGTCGGTCGCGGCGGCGAGGCAACGTATCTGGCAGCCAATGCGGTGGGCACCTCGCTGATCCTGGACAATCGGTCTTTACCCAAGGAGGAGGATTGTGTGAAAAGCACCGGTCTACATTCCGAAATTCAGCGCCGGTATCAGATCAAGGTATGCACTTTTTTTTCATCAACCATTCATTTCTAGTTCGCTCCCAATAGCGATCGCCCCTACACAATGGCTCATTTTGCGCACCCCGAGGACGCCGGCGAATATTCACGAAGACAGGAGCCATTCTCCACGTACAAATGTCCACCGGAACTCTTGCCGGGCCACGAGCAGACACCCGAAATCGAGACCGAACTTTCTCTACATTTGCGCTGGCCCCGAATCGAGATGGAAGACACCTGCACCGTTCAGGTATAATTTACCACTACATTCGTCGTATCCCTGATTTAGCTCAAAGACGCGCAGTTCTCCTACTACGCGTGCGAACTGCTGCAGGTGGCAAATGTGACTGCTAGTCCACGGCGCCGACTGATCGGAGAAAGAAGGGTATGCAAAAGGATTTCAGCACAAGATTTCCTTTCTCTTTCAGATCCAGGTGTCCGGTCTCCCAAAGACGATCAGAAACAGTAGGGAGCTCTGCACCTGGGCAAAGTCGATCTTGGATTATGGCGGGATCGAGTTCGATGAAGTGTCCGCGAATTGCAAGCCACCACAATTCATAACGTAAATCCCATCTCTTTATTTGAAATTTCCGTTTAGCGTTGCGGGCACGAAGGAGCGCATCGAGACGCTGTTGACCAAGGTCATTTTGGGCCACGCCATTGAGTTGGGCTTTTGGACTGACGCTGTCCCGTGGGACCCAATGTCTTTCTTCGAGGTACTATTTCTCGTTTTCCGGAATTTTTTTGTTTCAGTATGCCAAGTCCGAATCCTTTCCCTGGTCGTATCGCTGGAGCTCAACTGCCGATTTTAATGAAGTGCAGGTGTGCAGTTCTCCTTCTACACAAAAAGCTCTCTAGGTGATTTTCGACAAAAACAACAAGCTGGACACGCAAGAATTTCTTGCCCAAATGGTCGTGAACGATGTCTGGCTGCGGTTCCCTCCTGCGCTGAATGGACGTGCCCCTCTCGAACATTTTGCCCAGTACAAGCTAGGATTATGGGTGCCGTCCGAGCTCAGACGGCTGTTCCAGCCGGAATTGGAAGCGTTCAACCAGAGGTAGTTCTTAATCTTATGGCATCATCGAGCCGTATGTATTTCTAGGCCATCGGAACATCGAGGTTACTGGCTTAGGGTGTCGGACTCTAACGACCTTGCTCACCTTCGGATGGATCTCATCAATGTCTCCGGCTGGCCATTGGGGTATGTACTTGCTTGATGCGTTTAATTTTTTACTTTATTTTTTAGTAATGTGGAAGCAGCACATGATCGACTCGTCGCGTTGTTCGCCCCAACCACTTACAGCGTCCGCGATGCTGACCAAGATTGGCTGCTGCATGGGTTTGGAAACATTTGATTTGATATCCTTTATTTAGGTTTGGCGCGACCATTCTACAACAGAAATTGGACCGTTTCCGCGAAGAAAGCAACGCCAGATTCCTCATTGATGTCGACGCGACGCGCACGGAGTTTAATATTTTTGCCGGAGAAGCAGCAACCGTGCAGATAGTGGCCCTTATTGAGGCGTCTGTGGTCGATAGGTACTTTCTACCCGCCGTTTTATTTTATTTGGTTTAGGGATCTTGTCGCCATCACCGCAACCTTTGTCCTCGATCAGAAGCCATACTTTGATGATTTCTACGAGCTGGTTCGATGCTACGAAGGCTACAAGCAATGTATGCTCAATTTTGAGCGTCCAAATTTTCTCGTTTCAGACGGCGGGCATCGCACTGCCGAATCTTTGCCGTTTTATGCGAGCACTGCGCCACAGACGCTGGAATTTCACGGCACCTGGCAGCAATATCAAATGGCGGTGGCCTCACTAGCCAAACTTCGTGACGTGGTAACTTTTATTTGCTATCCCGATTGTGTTCTAGGCCCTCGAGTATTTCAAGCAATGCTGTGATCGTTTGCCGTCGCCACCGCCCCCCACGGCAGTGTGTCCGATCTGTCTGCACCCTACTCGGAGCGACTGCTACAAGTTGAAGGGATGTGGCCATGTGTTCTGCCGAATTTGTCTCAATCGGCAGGTATCGTGTTTATATCTATTGTATCTTGTCGTATTTTTAGGTGCTCGCTTGCGAGACCAGCCGAGAGAAGGTTCCTTTTGCTTGTGCGGCATGCGAAGAGCCCTTCCGCCCCGTCGATATCCAGGTACAGATCCCTTGAAGATAATTTTGTCGTTTTTAGCGCTTATTGCTCGGCTACAACCAGGGATACGGCGAGGGATTTCATGCGTGGTGGCTGGATGCGGGGAAGCTGCGGAACTTTACGAATGCGCGCCTCAACAACTTGCGGGCGCTGGCCGACCGCCCCTTCTTTTGCTGCCTGACGCCAGATTGTGATGGAATGTTCGAGGTACAAAATAGAGTTTTATGAAATAGATTTGTTTAGCCATCGCAATGGCCGACCCCGATTTTCGTATGCGGAAAGTGCCGGCGCCGACACTGCCGCACTTGTGGGCTCGACGATCACGGCACCACGAGCTGTCAACAAGAAAATGTCGTGCGCAGTGAGTTTCTTTATTCGCTCACCAAAATCACAATCTAGATGACGCTTCATTCTCGCTACTTGTCTACCAGGAGAAATATGGCCTGGACATGGTTCGCGAATGCCCAAGAAGAGGTTGCCAAGCAATCATTGAGAAGGGCGTCGGCTGCCATCATATGCGCTGCCCAGAATGCTCGATCCACTTCTGTTGGATGTGCTATTACATGGTGAGCGGATTTGTTGTGTGTTTTTTATTTCGATTTCAGGATGACCAGTTCGCCGAGATCTACAAACACTTGTCCGACGTTCACTCGAAGTCCACCGATAGACCGTTCGTTTTCGCAGAGGACGGCCCGGCTTTTGGGTAAGGCTGACGATCTATCATCTAACTCCTTTTCTAGAACACCCGCCCGACGATGAACGCGAATGGCACGCAGCGATGGAAACAATCTGGGGCATCTGATCGGTTGCCCCTCGAAATATTAAAATGAAAAATTCATTGATATTAGCCTTATTATTGGTTCGCTTGTTTTGTTTTAATTGTATGGGTGTTGATATTGTTGTTGTCACCGGATAAAATTTTGCTTGTCTACAAGTGCTTGCTAAAAGGCTACGCTGCCGTTTTTCATATTTCAATGCGAATCAGCGCCCAAAGGCTGTCTGTCTAGTTGTGGAACTTATCGGCAACTAACTACTCCTATGCACGGCACGCTCTCCTTTTCATGACGTTGCAGTCTCGCCGTTCCAATTTGAAAAATTTTCTCATTTTGACTATTTTTACGTTTATCTTTTTATCTTCTGCTCTCAAAGCTTTAGTTGTACTGCGCATACATGCCGGTCTTTTCCAGGGTGATGATCAACCTATTCATATTAGCCTTTCTATTGATAGCTGCAAATTCCAAGGATGTGCGAATATCATTGAACGCTCCGTGGCCGTCCTCAACAATACTTTCTGAAGCTGTGTATGTTTTGTGAATTAGAGGGTTTTTCTCTCTTTACAAAGTCACTGCAACGATCTGTTTAGAGAACATTTCCGTCAATTGGAACCGGTGCTCGGTCAGCGTTTCGTTGAGCGACTGGTTGAATTTGATGGAGATTTTGGTATTTTGTCCCTTGTAGTAGTTACTTATCTGAATTTAGCAACTCCGGAGAAAGAATACGAGGCAGCTATTGCTATTTCGAGAGACTTAGCGGGCGATGGCGCCACTGAATTATTGAAGTTGGCGCTGTCTATCAGAAGTCATGCACCTCGGGTCGTTGCTTTCCACCAGGTATGCCGCTAGCTTTTGGAGTTATTATACCTGGCTTTTCTTTAGATCGCAGTGGAGCATGGTATCGATTGCGCAGCATTCTTCGAAATCAACGGGCAATTTTCGTGTGCGAAGGACCAGATGGCATCATATTTCGCGAAAGCTGACAAACAGTATTTACCCGTTTTCGGCTTAAACAACTTTTTAGGGCCACTCCGCTGATCACTGTGATGGATACTTGGTTCGTATCTGGTGAACCCGATGTTATGGTTATCGTCTACGGTCGAGTTGGAACACCGGAATGGAAGGCACTGCATTTGGCCGCCCTCGAGCTTGCAAACAAACATTCCATTTCCTACACCTTCCGCCATTTCATCGTAAAGTTTCTTCAGCCATACTCAATGCCGTGGTTTAGAAAGATGAACAACCAGCAATCGGACTATCGGGCTACGGAGTGGAGCTTGCTATCAAGAATACGGAATATAAAGCTCAGGATGACTCAAACACCAAAAAGGTATGCCGACTTTCGCGCAAAAACGCTTTTTAGGAAGTATTGGAAGATTCCGAGAACCTTCATGGCATCAACATCAAGCTTTTGAAGGAACAGAACCCAATCGTCGTTAACGAGCTAAATAACTTCCAGCAATACCTACGGTATTTTACATTATAACTCCCTGTAAAAAGGATTTAGGGAGACCGAAGGCTTGATCCCCTTGAAACAATGGCAAGTGCAAGACCTTGGCTTCCAGGTGACCGGAATTTCGTTTCTTGGATATCTCTTTAGGCTGCGCAAAAGATCGTATCCACAGATGCCGATAACGTTCTTGCCACGTTGGTCGACCTCAGCCAGAATTTCCCATTGCATGCTCAGTATGATCACGTTAGTAGTCACAAAATGATCGTAGTTCGTTGACGCGTGAAACCGTGACTAACGAATTGCGTGGCGAGATAGCCGATAACCAGGAGGCACTTGGAAAGATCGAGCTGGCCGCTGGCGACAATGCTTTGTACATCAATGGTATCAAGTTTGAAGCCGAAGAGCTGGATTTGTTCCAGGTGAATACAAACGCGCTTTTGGTACATTTATTTAGTTGCTCGACACATTGAAACAAGAGGAAAAGCTGAGCACTGGCTTCTTCAACATGGGTCTCCGTCGCGAATATCTATCCATCCTCGTTTCGCTTGATGTCTCTGCTGAAGAGACCAACTATGGCGTTGATTACCGCGATGCCGTACCATTCTATCTGAACAACTTGGATACCGACAAGCGCTATAGGTATTTGTGTGTATTGGAATCGTAGGCAATCTTTTATTTTCAGGCAATGGGGCAATTCGGTGAAGCTGATGCTACAGCCTTACTATCCTGGCATGATTCGCCCGATCGCTCGCAACTTCTTTACCTTGATTATCGTTGCTGATCCCCAAGAAAATGAAAGTCGCAATTTGCTGAAGATCTCTGAAGCCTTCTTGCGACATGAGATCCCGCTTCGTATTGGCATCGTGTTCTCCGTCTCGCCGGATAAGGAGGTCGGCAGACTTTCCGCGATTGACCGTCCTGTTTTCTAGAATTCTGGGCTGACGGATGCTGGCGTCGCCGTCTTGAATTTCTTCAACTTCGTGATGGTGGACAGTTCGACAGAAGTGGCCCTTCAAGCTGTCAACAAGATGTACGCGTCGATCGCGAAGAGCGAAAATCTCACTGTAGAACATGTACACCAGCATTTCAAGAAAACCTTCAAGGTAGTTATAAGATTTGCAACTTATGTTCCCATTCAGGATGCTGATATCGATGAAGTTTTCGGTCCTAATTCCGACTACGATAAGGGCCGTACACAAGGAGCTGCCTTTTTGAAAAGGGCAGCCATTGGACAAGCGCCGAAGGTCCTCGTTAATGGATATCCATTGTCTGACGATGGAGTGAGTGATTATTTCACTAACTTAGATATGTTTTAAGATTACCGGAGATAAGTTCGAAGAAACGTTGATGATGGAGATTATGAAGCGTACCCCGAAAATCCAGAAGTCAATTATGGATGGAGCGCTCAAGGTTATTAATTAACCTGCATGTATTTATTGTGGACTTTCTCAGCCCGGTACCATTGTACTTCAACTTTTCAGGACAAGACTAACGTTCAAAACTGGCTGCTCGAGCAACCTGATATCATGCCACGGTTGAACAAGCGTATTCTCAAGCCCGCTGTCAAGGATTCGATTATCGATTTCACTGGTATATTTGTCTGTCTTTCTGTGATGAATTGCTCTAGATAATGCTCCATGCAAGGCACGCAAGCTCAACGAATTTTTGGAATTGACGAGTGCTGCAAAGAGTATCTGCGTCTTGGATAAACTCAGCTACTTGGCAAAGTCAGTCCTTCACGTGGATTGATATGATTTCTGTTTAGGAGCGAAGAGGACACCGTTCGTCCAGTCACGATATGGGTTGTTGGTGATTTCGAGACGGAACGTGGACGTGATCTTGCCTATTCTCACATCAAGCACATCAAGCATAGGTCCGTTTTGCGCCTTTACTCGTAATTATCTACTTTTAGCTCTAATGTCCGCATCGCTTTCCTGCCCAATCCAGAGGATTTGGATCAAGCCTGCCGAGCCGACTCTGTCTCTTCAAAGATTTTCGCGGCCCTGCGATTGTTGCCACATAATCAAGCAAAACAGATGATTACCAAGTTCGTGAAGGTATGAACTTAGCTTGGCGCTCAAAACTCAAAATTAGGAGGAAAACCAGGGGACGACAATCGCTGATCTCGCGGTCGGCGGTATGGATGTTGAGAAGTTCGAGAAGGATCGGGCGTTGCTTCCGCTTTGCGATCACATCAAAATGTATCAAAATTTTGTCAACGAGGTTTGTGTACCTTATTTTTTTGAACCTAGATTTAGGTGGCTGGCATATCCGCCGGAAATGCAGCAATCATTGCAAATGGCGTGATTATCGGTCCACTGGAAAACGATGAGGCCTTGTCGGAAGATGATGTGGTTCTGCTTGAAAAGTTGCTTGTCGCGAAGGGGGCGAAGGTATTGTTGCTCTTTATCTGACCTAAACGTCCTCTATCTCAGACCGTTGCTTCCCACATCAGCAATTGGGAATTGGACAAGACGAAGGGAAAAGCGTCCAATTTGGTTCTACGCATGTACTCTCTGATTGGTCGCTCGTCATCAACCCAGAAGAGAACCTGGGTCGTTCTTTCTGATGACAAACATAGCACCGTATCTTTGCACGCCGACGATCCGCTGAGGGCTACTATTGATGTGGTTGCTGTCATTGATCCACTCAGCAGGTTTGTATTTCAAGGTTCTATGGCATACAAAAGGGGTCTGGAGGCGATGACTTACACTTTTCATTTAGAGAAGCGCAAAAGCTCTCGCCAATTCTTCAACTACTCCGCAAGAGCATCAACTGCGATTTGAAGCTTATCATGAATCCAAAGTCCAAGTTGAGCGAGCTGCCACTCAAGAGGTATTAGGCTAAAGTTCGTCCTACCCGTCTTCTAGGTTCTACCGCTATGTGGCCGATTTTGAGCTACAATTTGATGCTGCCGGAAATATCGTGAACCGCATGGCCCTATTCACCGATCTGCCTACCAAGCAGCTCTTCGCTTTGAGGTAATTTTGACGTGATTTTTGCATTGCCTTTGAAGCGTTCACCCGCCCGAGGCCTGGATGATTGAAGCAACAGAAGCCGAATACGATTTGGATAATATTCAGTTGGATCAGGTTCATGTGACTCGGTTTTCTTATGTGGTATTTAGGTGAACAAAAACGTTGAGGCAGTCTTTGAGCTCCAAAATATCCTTCTCGAGGGTCATTGCTTTGATGAGGTAAATTGATCTACTATTCGTGGCTCTATTTTTGAGGATTCCAAGTTATGATTTTAGGTAACCGGTGGCCCTCCCCGTGGTCTACAGTTTGACATCGGAACCTTGTCTAAACCTACTATGTACGATACCATCGTCATGGCAAACCTCGGCTATTTCCAACTTAAGGTTAATTAAGCCTTTTTCGAAAACTACGTTATTTTAGGCCAACCCTGGTGTCTGGATGTTGCAGCTCCGAGAAGGTCGTTCCCGAGATCTATATGAGATTCGTTCTAATGTCAATGCTGATGGAGAGGCGGACGGTCGTGTGCGTGTCATCATAAAGTCCTTCAATGGTATACTTGGCGGTGAAATTAAACATCGGCAATAGGTAAAATTATTCGGCTTCGTGTTGCGAAGAGAGAAGGCAAGGAGGACGAAAAGTTACTAGAAAGTGGCGACGAGAACTCTGGCATTTGGGGATCGCTAAACAGCATTGGTTAGTTTTATTTCTGACACTTTAGGCCGGAAATATTATTATCGACTCTTTGACTTTTTAGTCGGCGAGAAGCACGAGACTATCAACGTTTTCTCTTTGGCTTCTGGTCATTTATACGAGCGCTTCATGCGCATCATGATTCTGTCGGTGATGAAGAACACGAAAAGCCCTGTCAAGTTCTGGCTGTTGAAGAACTACTTGAGCCCGCAATTCAAGAAAAGCCTTCCCCTACTAGCTGAACGCTACGGCTTCCAATATCAACTCGTCGAGTATAAATGGCCTCGGTGGCTGCATCAACAGAAGGAAAAGCATAGGATTATGTGGGGCTATAAGGTATATTGTCTTGCTTTTCGGTGATTTGGCTCTTTAGATTCTGTTCCTCGATGTGCTCTTCCCATTAGATACACAGAAGATTATCTTCGTTGATGCCGATCAAGTTGTCCGTTCGGATCTGCTAGAACTAATGAATTTCGACCTCGACGGGGCTCCATACGGGTTCGCGGTTATTCGGCTTTAGCTTATTTGGTTCCAGCTATGTTCCATTCTGCGACTCCCGCACGTCGATGGAAGGCTTCCGATTCTGGAACCAGGGCTACTGGAAAAACCATTTGGCCGGCCGCCGCTACCATATCAGGTACCTTTTCGTTTATTTGTTTCCCTTGCTTGGCACCATTCCCGGTGTGCTGACCAAAATTTTACCTGGTTTAGTGCTCTCTACGTTGTCGACTTGAAGAAATTCCGCATGCATGCTGCTGGTGACCGACTACGTGGACAATACCAGAGTCTTTCCGCCGATCCGAACAGTCTCTCGAATCTGGATCAAGATTTGCCGAATAACATGATTCACCAGGTATTCAAAACGGTCTTTTGGTAAATTGTGATTTTAGGTGCGCATCAAGTCCCTGCCGCAAGAGTGGCTATGGTGCGAGACATGGTGTGATGACGGGTCGAAGAGCTCTGCGAAAACGATTGATCTAGTATGAAAATCCTTTTTTTCATCCTGATCACTTATTTTAGTGCAACAATCCACAGACCAAGGAACCCAAGCTAGAATCGGCTCAACGTATCATTCCAGAATGGGTCTCCTATGATCAAGAAATCAAACGGGTGTGTTTTCCTTAGATTTTTCTGGCAAATAACCAGTAACCTTACAAATTACTATTTCTAGGTTTTGAATCTGCACGTTGATGATTCGAGCTCAGCCGGCACACGGGATGAACACAACGAACTCTAGGCTGTGATATCAATTGATACTTGAAATTCAGAAATCAGATGGGTTGTGTGTTTTTAGCCAAATAAAGGGTTGTTTTGGTATTTTTTTATTCTTGAAACTGAACACGCGAAATCCGATTTTTATTAAAGCGCTCCGGTACAATTGGCCCAGGTCTTTTGGTTTGGAGTGATGATCTAGCTTTCAGAAACCAAGTTTCCATAAAAAAACAACAGAGAGATACAATGATTCACAGCAAAATTGGAGCTCAATAAAAAACATGCTATATATTTGGCCTGAAATATGCATATCCGGTTCCGTATGGTATGACTTTGAACTGAGTGATAGGAGGTGTAGGGAGGAAAGTTGACAACGAATGTTAAAGCTGTTGAAGGGAAGCGGCAATCATTTGTGCGTAGATAAGTTGATTAAGAAAGGGGGATTTGATGAAAGGGCAGGAAGGAGATGGGGAATTGCTAATGAAGGGGCTGGAAGTTGGCCTAATTGGCCGAGAATGCCCGGGTATAAAAGAAGAGCTGGAGACAATGGACCACTCGTCATCATATCCACATCTGATTTCCCGCTTAAGCTGATCGGGCTCGCCTGAAATATATTGTGAATTACAATTTTACTTTGCTTTCGACGGTAGTCTTCGTTTATGTAATGATGCTACTCACCTTTTCAACAGGACTATGTTCAACGGAACTGAGGCTGGCATTACTCTTCGGCTTCTCCAGTTCATTACAAGTCCTCTTCCTCTTCCGTGGCCGGTAAACATAATTTGGATGCTCCTTGAACAATTCATCCCGCAATTCTTTTGCCTGAATTCCGATTCTTTTTGATCGTGATACGATGGGCCTACCTTTTGCACATATGGTAGCTTCTGGTCATCGCTCATAGTTTTCCACTCGATGCCTAGCGCCTTTGAGATCAGTGAATTGTGAACTTTTGTAGAATTTGCCGTGATTTCTGCTCTCCGCATCTGTGCCCATACCTAGATGAATACAGTAAATAGGAAAAAGGAATTCCTACCATAAACGCATTCATCGGTCGCTTAATTTTTCTCCTTCTGGGGTACGGTCAGTGCCGAATTCGCGTCGTTCCGCGGCCGTCCATCTCGACGCTTCGGGTACGGAAGATGGGGGCGGAGTTGGAAATGAGCCGGCAGATGACGTCGACGAGACGTCAATCTGGATTGGTAGCGTGGGGTTTGGCTCGTATATTTATACCTTTAACTCCGCCATTAATGGTTGGGAAATCGTGATTGTGATGTTGATTTTTGGGGTACCCTGAAAAAGACATTTTTTTTTGGAAAGGTTTGGCTCGGAAAGCCAGTGAATAAGAAAAAAAATTGAAATATTTAATTAAGCAAAATGTTTTGAAATCTAAGGATTTTAATTTTGGGCGATTGTTAGGTCTGAAGATGTTCTTCTATTTGGGTAGATGGGCCCTCCCCCCATTCTTTTCAGATGGCTTTCTATGGCTTTTGGGCTTTTCTCGATGGGCCGACCCGCCGTGTCCTCATCCTCCTCGCCCCCTCTCACTCGTCCATCCCGAGTATTGTCCCGTACAAAAGGTCCACAAAAGGGATTCAAGGTCGTGGATGTGCTCAAGTAGTCGGAAGGGGCCGAACTCCTTTCCCGGAAAAACGCCTCGGCAGCAAGGGGGGACCATGGATGAGTGAAAGAAACATCCTGGGTTGTGATTTGAGGTTTTGGTCGGCTCTCAATTAGGGAATTTTATTTTTCGGAGCAGACAGGATAATGGGCAAAATAATTATTAGATATATTTACTTGAAGGGGAATTTCGAAGAGGCTATTCGACAAAGCGCGCGAAAAATATATTATGGGAATTAATTCAGCCCGAAAAATGAATGTAAATGTGTTTATTACACGAAAACTTTGGTTTTTGAAAGCCATTGGTACCAATTGGTATTAAATTAAATAAAATCAAAGCCCAAAAAAACATCAATATCTAATGCCCCTGAAAACAATATTTAAGGCCAATTTTATTGCAAAGAAATTTCAGCTCCCCCCTCGTTATTTTTATCCCCAACCGCTCTTCTTTTAAAACCTCCTAAAAACCAAAAATAACAGAACAAAAACAAGAATAACATTAGAAAACGGGACTTGTGTGTTTCTAAGCTGCACAAATCAACATACGGATCAAGTAGATTCTGTTGAAGGAAGTAGAGAAGAATACGAACCGACCCCCCTGACAATACCTTCTTTCTACTACTATAAATGAAATCGCGTGGAGAGACTAATCTGCACACAAGACACCACATAACCATTCTGCGAGCGAACAATGCCGGTTCCCGTCCACCCCCATTCAGGAATGCCATCTTCCCCCCTTCTATATTCCAAAACTGTCCGCCCGTTTTACAAAGAACAACTGGGGCACCGGGATATATAGGGTATGTTAATGTATATCCCCATATTGGGGATTACGTGGTTTAAAATAGGGGTTTAAAGGGACTGGGATGGCACAAAATCGACGGGTAATTTGCTGAAAATCATGGCTAGAATTTTACGGTCAGCACACGCTGTTTTGGGTCGATTCCGATAAAGATAAACCTATAAGAAAACCTAATTTTGCTTTGAGACCTTTAAAAATAATTCTAGTTACTATTAAGCTTCAAAAATTCCCCATTACTTCATTTTTTTTTTTTTTTTTTTTTTTTTTTTTTACTACTTTATAAAATTTTTTTTTTTTTTTTTTTTTTTTTTTTTTTTTTTTTTTTTTTTTTTTTTTTTTTTTTATAGATTCATAGAGATTCTTTGCGTTCAGATTCCTTTAGAATAAGGTAAATCTTTCGTAAAAAAATTATGAAAGCATAAAATATTTTTACAAAATGAAAAATCAAGCTCGACATTAACCCACCCAGAGAAAAGCGCGTTGATTGGACAAACTCACCCCCCACCAACATTCTTTCTTTCGAAATTCAAAGACCCCTTGATTGCGAATAGGTAACGATGGCCCTATGATTCTAAAAGTTTTTCTTCTCCCCACCCACCCGCCCAAACCAACAACAAAAACCCGCAACTCGGAATGTTTCCGCGACTGTACTGTGTCACCATACGGGTCATCCCGCTTTTCACCCACAAAAACAGACAACAATTGGTGAAGACATTGCCGAAGAATTCGGCTTTTTACCTGGCACCGCTTTTGTCACAAATGGAGGGTGTCTATAGATAAAAAAATTCCTATTATTTATGGCAAAATCGAGGCGTGTGCCTGGAATAATAGAGAAAACTGGAAGGACTGCGGGTCGGAAGGCCAATTTTTGAGAAATCATGCAAAAGCCAAGTTTCAGGACCCGATTGCTAATTCTTGAGTTTGTCAAAGGATACAGGTGCACCGGGGTGGGGGCCGGAAATAAATTCCAGAACCCCACGCTTCCTGCAAATAGGAAAATACCCAAATTAGCGTCAATGAAAAAGTAGTTGTTTCTAAAAATTGACAAATCCGTGGGTCGACTGCAGGTGGTGGGAGAAGGGGGGTTTTTGGGAAGGGGCAATGGAGAGGCACACATCCGGGAAATAAAGGATGCGAATGGATTTGTCATGGCAATGTTCGCATGCATTGTTGTGGATGGGGGGCGCGAGAGGGGGGTGGAGGGTTGTATTTTTATTGGGTTTAATAATGGTGGTTGTGGGTATGTATGTATATTGAAAGGGAATGGATATATAGAAAAAATGGAAGCGAGGAAGAGGGAATTTTTGGTAAAAAAGGGTATCAGGTGGCTTTAATCGTTGGATGTTTAACTAGAGTGAAAATTTTCAGACTTAACGTGTAATGGAGAACATTAAAAAGCATAAATACACTTTCGAGAAAAGACATAAAAATCAATAGAAAAGCTTAAACTAGTGTGCTTCAAAGATAGGTTTAACGTTATATGAATGTTAGAGGAAAATTACGTAATTAATTAGCACCAGGGTTGAAAAGCCGCTTCGCGACTTTTCAACCCTGGCCCCCGTCTTACCCCCCCCATACTTCGTCACATTGCATAAACACCTGAATTGGGTGCAGAAAAATGAAAAGCGTGTCCTCTCCGTCGTTATATAGGCTTCCCCCACTTCCGGTGCATGCTAATTCATTTCTAACAAAGAGCCTGAGCGAGATTCTCACAAAAACCTAATTTTAATATCGAAAACAGCTGATTTAAAAAAATTTTATATGCGTGCAGTCATGTCATGACCATTACGCGCCTAATCACGTATCATACATAACTTTAACTTCCTGCCCTATTGAGATACGACTGGAACATACGGACGGAAGTTGCATGCAAATGCACACACACACACACACACACACACACCACACAAACACTAATTTTTATATATAGTAGGATAATTAGCATACAAAGGCATAGAAAACAGGAGAAAACCCTGGAGCATCAAGCTAAAGCCAGTACCACCCTCCCCTTGGAGTATACAAATTATAATGAATTCTCGAGACATCTGGAAGGGGACACCGGGTATTCGAGCCAACCCATCAATCTATGGTAGTCGTGTGAACGACACCTGGGGGCACAAAAGTGTTGCTCCTCCACAATACCCCCGGAGTAAGGGGGGCGGTGCTTATTGGAGGGATGCCATGGTTAGTTAACGGAACAACAAGAAAAAGGGGCGGAGCGGAACGGGTCTCGACGCCCTAATTTGCATACCAATTAAGTACGTTTTACCGCCTGGTTCTTGCATGAATACCGTATTGGCTATAATCGGACCCCGGGATTTTTGGTCTCAAAATAGCAATTGAGTTCCTAAAACGAGCACAATCTTTTTGTCTTGGCTTTGCGCTGTGGCTTTAAATGGCTTAAGCCGTTTGAACTGCAAAATACGTCATTATTGCTCAAAATGACAAAAAAATCTGATTTAGAAAATTAACGAATTTAAGTCCAATTTAAAGATTCAAAACGTAGCTGAAAAAGTTGCATTAGTCCACAAAAATTAGGAAAATTTTTATAGCGCATAAACACAAAAACTCAAGCCATTGTTTGCAGAACAGTTAAAGTCGCA